GAATATTTATGGAGGAATGACCATGGTTCTTGGAAACACAAAGTAACTTATTGTAATAAGGGTAATGTGTGTTGTATCTGTAAACATTTAAAACATTCTTGCGGTTGGAATATATGCTCTGTGATCCTATAAATCAAAATCTAATAATAACGATGCCTGTTGGTTTCTCCGGTTTATTTTGTCTCAGGATTCTTGAAGGTTGCTTTGTATCTGTAACTATATTTTAAACCCAAAACGGCTTTTAAACAAAGTGTTATGTGATACAAAACATCAAATGTTTTAGTTAGACAGCATCATGCTATGGGGATGCTTCCCCATAGAGAACGGAAAGCTTGTCAGGACTTAGGAGAAAATGAAAGGAAAACCAATTTCAGTCTACTAACAACCTAAAACTGCACTGAAAATTCACTTTTTTAGCAGGAGAATAAACAAAAGCCCAACCTCAAAGCTACACTGGAGTGGGTTTCAGAATAAGAATGAGATTGTCCTTGAACGGCGCAAAGTCCTGACTTGAGTCGTATTGAGAATCTCTGGGAAGACTTGAAAACTGCTGTACGAAAGTGATCCCCAAGGAAATCGATAGAGCTCAAGCAAATCAGCCAAGAAGAACTGGTACAATTGACATCATGCAAGAGTGCAGTAGGAGACTTACCCAGAAGCACTTGTGGCTATAATTGGTGCTTTCACCAAATATTAAGTTCATGGAGCTGTGAATACTTATGCAATCAACATATTTCATTTTACGTATGCAATCAACATCTTTTATTTTGTTTCTCTTTAATTTTTGCTGACATTTACTGTAAATTACCTGTAAAAGGGCAGCTGTCGTTGTGGGCGGAGTTTGGTTGATCGGTTGCATATAGAGAACCAAATAATGGTAAGTTTGTTCTCTAGATGTCTCAACCAAACTCCCCCCACAACGACAACTGCCCTGTTACATTATCTAACCCTAGGAAGTGTCCAGTCTGAACTTTCAGCTTTCAAAATGTGTGCATCATTTTGTAATAACACAAATCCACTGTCAGATCAATTAGGAGACATGCAATAGACACCGGTTCTGACATTGTTCTGGCTTGTATTCTCACTTTGAACAGATTTGCTGCTCAGGATATGCTTATCCATACTATGGTCATACTTTCCTAACTTTAGTTACAGTAACCTTATGACAGTAACTAGATATGCATTGTATAGTAACACAGGATATCTGTTGTACAGTAACACAGGATACATGTTGTACAGTAACACAGGATACATGTTGTACAGTAACACAGGATATCTGTTGTGCAGTAACACAGTATACACGTTGTGCAGTAACACAGGATATCTGTTGTGCAGTAACACAGGAAACACGTTGTGCAGTAACACAGGATACACATTGTGCAGTAACACAGGATATCTGCTGTGCAGTGACAATGAACATCTGTTGTAAAGTAAGACGGGGGGACATGTTAAAAAGCCAATCTGTGTGCTGTGAGGAACAACATGAAAACAAAAACTGAAGCAAATGGATACAAGAGAAAGGGCAATGGGGAAAGTTTCTCCCCCGTGTGGAAAGGCACCTTTCCAGGTGATACAATCGAGCAGGCTAAGTCAAACAGCAGCACGATTTGACAGCCGTGGGCTTCTTTAAAGTAAAGTGATATCGAAAGCAAAATGGTATTAGATGTACCATGGAACACAAGGGTGGGAATTCCTGCCTGAGAGCTGTTTTTACCCTGAATCTGTTCTTCTGCTCTGGCCCCCATGAGTGGGCCTTCTTCGTGGAAATATTAAAGTGTGTCTGGACATACAACAACAACAATAATAATGATAAGCTCAGTGGTTGTCTTATCATTAATAATTACTGAATAAGGAAAGAAGAAAAGGTTTGTAGAATAAATTCAGCTTAGATGCATTGCAGAGGTACAGATGTAGGTAATTCATCTGAAAATAAGAAATACTGTATCACTCGTGTAGTTAAGAGGCCTTCTAAATTAACTTTTTTTCTTTTTGTTTTTTACGGAAGCTCTCCTGCATTTGTTTTTTTTTTTACAGTATGTGTTTTTTAAAGGGCATCTTTTAAAAAAAGCCTTGTGAAAATTAAAGATAGGACTAATTGAACTTAAAAACCCCTCAGAAAATAGCTTTGGCTTCAAATCAGTAACGTCTACTTTTGAAGAAAGGTAATGACAAGCAATTTTAGCACTCTTGAAAATCCCTTAAAGTGGCACTTAATTCTTTAAAACAGCAGGGAGTTTTAAAAACTGTATTTGCAAGATCGAGAGGTGTTGCTTTGGAATTGGTTGTTATCTACTAATTTTAGCCACTTGGTTTTTAATCCGAGTTTACGGTCTGCTTATATCATTGTTTTTCAGTGAATTAATTCAGTGCCTACCTAAAAACGTCGTGGCTTTGCTTTGTAAATATTATGTTTGGGAATTTTTCATAGCAGTGGTAAATACAGGCAATGTGTTCTACTGTTATCCTGCATCATTTATCAGTGGAAACTTTTGAAATAGTGTTATGCAGGGTTCCACTCCTTTAATTGTACAACGTGTGCTAAAGACTGAAAAAGAGCGAGGGGGTTAAAGACAACTCCTGCGTATCTAAATTTGGAAAAGACAAGGCAATACCCTATTTTAAATTCACTGTAAAGTTTTATCTTCACTGGTGTCTGGTACTTTGCACACATTCAAGTACTAAACATGTTTCATGTCTTGTATACTGAGACTGAAGGAGACTGTAGCAAAGTATCAAACTTTTCACCTATAGAAATTAAATTACAAAGTTATATATTTTATTTATAAAGGGTTTTTGATCAGTATTATTGGTCTTGGATTGACTTCAGAAATTGACTAGGAAAAAACAGAACGAAAAACGCGATACAGTTGTTTTTATGGAATGCAAAACACTATTAGCAATGAATCAACAGTGTGAGAGCCTTTATGTTTATGATTCTGTAATCTGGGATGCTTTGTAAATAATTCATAGCATTGCTCAAAGTGCATTTTTATTAGTATCAAAATAAAAGATGCAGTGTGTCCTCTGGGGTTTGGCCTACAGTATATTATTAATGCACTTTTCTAAACTGGCATTGAATCACCAACTGTTTGTTTGATTGTTTTTGTCATACCCTAAGCAGTCATTTAGGTAATATTAATGATGCTTTTTAACTGTCAGTCCTTTTCCACAGTCCTCCCTGCCCTCTGTGGGCTAATTACCAACAAGTATCTCAGTAACGATCTGGGGTTAGCTGCCCAACATTCACCTCTAAACAGACCTGTACACAAGGCTGAAAGCAAACACTTTGACTTGCACAGGAAATACATGAAGGTTTTCTTGTCTGGCCAAGATAGCAATCTCCTCCCTTTGAAAGAAAATGCTTCTGGATTAAGGATTAAACATACAGTAAATACTGTATGATGTGCCATCAAATGTGAAATTCCAGTCTTAATGTTGATTATGTTTTGTATTGCTTTCTATAGTAGTGGGACAGTATGAGGGTAACAGGTCACTTGAAGAACACTGGCTGGAGAGGCGTCTGATGGTCTCTAAACCTTCTGTGCAGGTCACCTTGTCATTGCCAGCTACACAAGTCCTCCTCATCAGTCACACTCTGTCACAATTAGGATCAGTACTGTTTGAGTGGCCCTCGTGAGTACAGCGAGGGGCTGCAAAGAATATGAAATAGGACCAGAGGAGAGCGAAGCAACACAAATCAGCAGCACAGAGAAGAGCAGTCCCTTCTGCACTCTGCAGGATGGACACCAGGCTAGAGAGTCATGGACCGCAGTCTCGGTCAGACAGCCCAGCAGCCATCGCTGAAAAACTTGTTCGATCCCTGTAGAGAGGAAATGTGCTGTAGTAGGCAATACTTCTGGGTTGAGGTGGTATGAAGGGAAAGCTTCACCATTTACGTTGCAGTTTACAAATGCTGTTCTCTATGCAATTCTTCCCTTGCGGGTTGTACAGCTGACCAGTCGCAGTTTAGAAGCTGTCAACACTGCCAGTAGACGTTGTGAGCATGAGTCTACAGACGCTCTATGCTGCAGGCAGGTTATGAGGACAGCCATGAGGGAGGTGGCAGTGTGGACCTGCAGGAAAAGAAATGGTGCATAGCCGCAGAGCAGAGGGAAGATTCCGATCTGTGTTGTTCGTACAATTCACAAAAAGTGTGCTGCACGGTAGTGATTGTTTTACTTCTCAGGTTTTAAATTAAAGAAATGCAGCATTTCCAAGATTCATCCTACTGTCTAATAATCGTATCTGGTCGACCTGACACATAGTACAGAAAGTGGGAAAGTCACAAACCCTTCTCAGAGTCCACCTCTTGTCTTTGTGTAGTGTCCATGTGCGCCAAAAAGGAAGATGATGGATCTGAGAGCTGGTTCATTTTCTGGGGATAATTAAGAGTAATTAACCAGCACTGATATTCTCCCCTTTAAAAAAATTAAAATGGGGGATTTTTATTTCTGTCAAGTATTTTGATTTTGTGTTTTTCAGATACCTTAGATCTGGTATTTCTCCACCTTGGCATTCAGTCAAAATTGCTCTGTAATGTTTTCTTCTGACCATCATAAAATCTTTCTGTGACTAGATGCTTGTAATGAGTACAGAATAGCATCTAGATAAACCTTTTTAGATTAACACTTCATTGTAGCTGAAAGTTCTTATAAACATGGTTTTTATGGTGCTCAATGGTCACAAATTATTTTATTCCAAAATTCTCTGTAAAACTAAGCATACAGTATTTGGGTTGCGCCATTTCATATTTGAGTAAAACTGTGTCCGAGTTAATTAATTTTTGTTTTTTGTAGTATCTTTTTAGTTGGTTCAATGAGAAAATATGGAGCATCATGGGAATTAAATTTAGTTTCCATTAGGTCTAAACATGAAGGCAACAATAACTTACTTCCAAATGACCACGTTGGAGCAGATTGTCCTCTGTAAGCCATCTTTTGTCCTTCTGTGCTAAAATGAAACATGATTAACGTGGAACATAATCACAGGAGCCATGTATGTGCAATTGTAGTTGTAAATTTATTGCAGTACACATGTTCAAGCATCTTAGAACCAAATACATAACATTAAACTGAGCACTTGGAATGTGAGATCCAACAGGCTTAATGCAGCTGAGTTCAGACAGAACTGACCCAAAAACTGTCAGTCTTCAGTGTTCAAACTCTGGCGTGTACAAAAGACACAGATTCTGTGACAAAGATTTGACCGCCATGTTACCTACTCTTATCCAATAAATTTGGCTTCAAGGAACAGGTTCATATTGTTAATTATTTTTTTTAACAAAAGATCATAATAAAAAACAAAACAAAATGTGTTCGGTCAAATTTATTTTGACATGGATCTCTTTTTAACAGAGTTACAGGTTGTTTTTCAAATTCTTCCCTCTTATAAAAATACTTTACGGTTCTCTATAAAAGTTAACAGTATAAAAATGATGTAGGTGTGAAATTCTTTTTTAACTTTGTCGACACTTGGGGCAATTTAACTGGAGTGCACGTGGAATAAAAAAAAGTACATAAAAAATTGTGTATGAGCCAAAAGATTTGAAGTCATTCAGTTTGTCTTATTTTTGCCCTCAAAACACTAGAGAGTGAATCATTCATATGTTTGTAACACTTTATGATAAATGTCTGCACATGATTAATTCAAAGAGAACAGTCTATAAATACACTGGGACTTAAAAGCTCATTTCATATTAGCTCCATAGGCAATATGTATTACTTAATACGTACATTTAAATTATAAACACATGATAAAGTGTTACCCAAATGTTACACTTAGATCAAGCTTTATATTTAGCACAAAGGACTTCAACCAACTCCCTTTTCTGTCCTAACGTTCTTATCTTCACAACATACCTCTGAAATGAGTAACTGGAATTTATCTGGAAGCCTAGAGATTAGGTCAGTATTACAAAATGCATTAATGGCATTATTAGACTTTGAGATTTATCTGCTTCTCTAGAAAATGGTTTTTGTCTTTCATTGACAAAAAAAAACAGGTTTTGGTATTGTCTCAGACCATCTACTTACTCAGAAGAGTCTGATGGCTTAATGTTTAAAATGTCCTGTGCTTTTCATGGCTTTTGCATTTTTTTTTCCATTGATTAAAAAAACCTACATTTATAAAATAATTTTAAGTAACCAATGCCAGCACACTTCAGCTTGAAATGTAAGATTTCTGCATCAGTTTGACTTCACCTAACCCAGCTTTGTCTGGCTTCATTTCTTTCTGGAGTTCAAATACTGAGAATTACAGACTGTATATATTTCAGAGACATTGTAGCGCTAAAGATCATTTAAGATTTAAGTCCCAGTTGACTATTGATTTAACTGGGGTGTTCATTCATCACTTCATTTTCTAACATTTTCAGGGTTCCAAGGAAGCCAGAATCTATCCTGTCAAGCAACAGGCATAAAGTAGACAAACACCAGACAGGACACAGCCCATCTAAGGGCACACACCACAGAATGCACACATGCTCACACCAGAGCCAAACTTTTCCAGAAGCCAATTAACCTACAAGCATGTTTTTGGCCAATGGGAGGAAACCCCTGTCAACAGGAGGAGAACATACAAACTCCACCCAGACAGCACCCCAGGTCTGGAATCAAACCCAGGGCTAACTGCTGTGCCACCGTGCCTCTTTCACCTTTCAGTTTCAGTTAAATGATATTGAGATAAAAGTAATAAACAAAGAGTTATCTGCATCTTTTGTACAATTATTTCTCCAAAAGATTACATACAGCACATCTGCCACCAAGCACCCAGGGGTTAAATGCCAGTTACAAGCTTTTATAGTTGGGATGTAAACATAATGAAATAAAAAGCCTCTCTCTGTCTTTTAATTACATCTGCATATTGCTCCAAGTAATAATTATTTACATTCATTGTATTAAATATGTGGAGTAAATCTAGGCTTGCTGAATTAAAATTCTGTTACATTTTATACAACTCAGGTATGATATGATCTCACAATAAGTGCTGGAAAAAAAAAACAATTCACCATAAAATATGAAGAGTGTTTTACAGTAACTACAAAACTCTTTGTGCTATTGGTCTGTCTTGAGTTGTGTATGAGAGCTATGCCTGGAATTGAATAAGCTACAAAAACTACCTGTGTCTAACATTTGAGAAAGAAGGCTCGATTAGTGCTCAAATACCCTTTTCTCGTTTGAAGTTTAAAAATGGATGCCCTTTTCTGTACAAAGTGAAAAGGTGTACAGAGGCGCAGTCAAAACCATGGTGTCAGACAAAGCCGGCTGTCCTTTGGTGCAGATCTGAAACGGTCCCGCGACTATGCTGGGGAAACAAAGAAAACAAACCGCACAGAATACACGGTGTCCACTATATAGACGATGAGGTTGAAGTAAGTCATGAAGGTGACCACCACAAGCTTATCCCACGTGCAGGGGAAAGGGCACTTGTTGGGACGAGGGTTGTTCTGGAAGCTGTAGAGGGGCCAGATCACGGCGGCGGTCACGTACATGAGCACAGCCAGGATGTTGTAGCCGGTCAGGACCTTGTCGAAGGAGAAGGGGAAGAGGGCGATGAGGCGGCAGATGGTGAAGACGATGATGACCAGGGAGAAGATGAAGCACAGGGAGTAGACGGCCACGCACCAGTTCAGCCCTGCATTGTGTTTGTCGAAGGAGAGGGAGATGAAGATGATGCAGGCCACAAAGGCCTCCAGCACTTTCAGGAGTCCAGGAACCGTAGATAGAAAGCCACTGATCTCACCAGGCTTGGCCCTCGTCAAAACCACCTCAGCGGTATAGGCCGTGAAGCAGAGGATGGACATGATGGTGGCGGCAATCGCGTAGGAATTGTGAGAGTGGATGTAGAAGCTGGGGTAGATAATGGACGCGGTGAAGACCATGAGGGTGGCCAGCATGGCGAAGGCGGTGGTGAAGTCATCCCAGGAGATGGGGATTTTGGCGTGGAGGCCGGTGAACTCCAGCAGCAGGATCAGCACCGTGACGGCGAAGCAGAAGCACCAGGTGAACATGCACCAGGCCCAGTAGGATGCGGCGATGTGGCCCACATGGGCCACCAGGCTGAAGGCTACGCAGGCGAGGAAGATCTCGGAGAAGCGCACGATCCCCACCGGTGCTGTCACCGCCCTGTAATCCACAGCTACGATCGCCATCTTGCCGTCCTCTCTGCCTTCAGCCCTTCTCGGCTGCCCCTGAGGAGCTCTGCCTCTCGAATCCGGGAGAACGTGAGGAAAAAGTGGGGCAGGGGCACAGTTGTGCTGCTGCCGAGCGTATCTGAAGCCCTAGAAAGCCCAGCCCCAGGGATTCTGTGAAACACCACTCCAGTGTGGATGTTTGTTAAAAAGGCGTTGCCCTTTGCTACAGTGAGGACATGTCAGGAAGCATTAGTCCTTATCTAAACCATTTCTATCTGGTGACAGGGCTAGGTAAGCATTAACTTTTAGTGCTGTTCGTTTGCCCTAGTATACACCTGGGCTGTACAGTTCAGGCTCAGACCTAGCTGTTACAGTTTGAGGAAGTGAGCTCATACAGTTCCCCTTGGTGTTTAGAATGAAACATTAAAACTCACGATTTCCAACATCGGCCCTGCACCAGACAGAATGAAGAAACTGTAGGTGCTGAAAATTAGGAACAGTTTCTATCATACCTCTCACTAGGACATTTGATTCAAATGACTCTCCTGGAAGGAAACTAAAAACAAAAACTAAATATTAAACAATGTGATACTAGTGCTAATTACAAAATATTTGAACCGGAACAACAGCAATCCATTCTTCGGTGGATTAAGTCATCGGTTATATTTACTGTAGATGTCCAGTGTTTTACTACTGTATATAAGTACTGATATGATACTGCTAGCATCTTTCTGTATTGGGGTAACATTTTATAGTCTTCTAGGGGCCCTGTCAATGCTGTTACTGAGAACTTTAATGGGATGTTTGATCCTACTTTGAGGACCACTAAGTATACCAGATAATTTTAGTACAGTACACTACCTTTTTATTATTGTGTGAGGAATAAATTATATTGAACTATAATATATGTAGTATTCAGCAATGTATTGCTTCCCTTGGTTATTATACCAAAAACAAAAGCAGAATGATTTAATTCCACAGCTGAAAAAATTGAAACATATTGACCGTACATATTGAAACGTATTCAGTCATGACCTAAGAGTTTATTAGCACATACGCTTGACCTAAAATATAAATAACTTTTTTACAAATTATTTTTACAAATCTTCTTTTAAAAAAAGAGTAACAAACCACCAATGTGACGGGATGTGGGTCAGGGTTATAGGGGAGTATTTTCTACTCCACCCACTCGGTGAAAGTCTGTCCTTTCTTGGAGGAAAAGTCTTTTCCAGGCAGGTAAAGGGAAAGGCTATGAGCTGGTGTCCTGTGTGAGGTGGCTCGATGATAGTGATCCGCTTGCCTCTCAGGATATAAGAGGGCGTGGACAGGTCTTAAGCTTTTGTTTGAGGGACCTGTGAGATATTGAGTCATTATTTGCAGTATTAGAGGAAAGAGAGGAACATTAAGGGAGGAATGTTTTCTTGGCAAAGCTGTGGAAGACTTTGGACATTAGTAAAAGCTATAAAACACAGGATTACCCTCTTAGATAGCTTGAAAGTTTGTATATGTAACTAGGGCTCCAAAGGTTTTTTTTTTTGTGTTTGGGTCTGTTAGTATCCTGAAACGTAGCGAAAGATGGAAGAAAGGAGGACACTTAAGGCAGCATGTTAGTATCTTTTGAGAAATGACTGGATAATGTTGTGAGAATTGTGTACTTCTAGCAACCACCTAATTAACGAGACCTTCCCGTTCTTCACTCTCGGGTAATATTTATGTTCTCGTGTACTAAAGTAGTGCTACAAGGTCTAAATACAACCGTCACCTAGAAAAATCTACTAAAAATATAAATTTTTCTCCAGAATGTGAAGACCCGAGAAAAATTGTGTTTTTGTTCCTAAATGGAGAAATTAAATTATATTAATAATTTTAAATTATTTAAAATTAAATAGGGTAAATCCCAGAATTTTTACGTATCCTTAAAGATAAAATTTGGGTGTGTCCCCTGCTGAATAGTGCTCAGTTTTGCCAGTGAATGACTGCTTTCTGAACCTCATCACAGTAAGCATGGTGTGACACTGATTATTTTATTTTAGCATTTTATAAAATTTATGGATTCTCTACAGTAGTGTACAGTTTATGCCATTTCAAAGTGTGTGATTAGCCAGTTTCACCCTGGAATTGTGTATTTATGATTGCAGGCTGCACATGTCCAAAATACCAATTATCAAATATCAAGTGTCCTTCTTTTAGAGATAGGTGATAGACATTCTCCTCAGAGAAAGTAAAAGAAAGTGATATTTTATCTTTAATTTAGTTTTGAAAAGCAAACTTGACTCATGACTCAAACTCAGACCTTATTATTGGAAAGCAGGTTTGTTTTATGACTAGTTCTAGCTGAGCGTTATCCCAAATCTCTCATGCATTTTAATAAATGCATAGTTCCTAAATCACAGCATTATGAGGTTGATAGCCACTGTACAATGCGGAACATCATACGTCCCAGACATATACTGACCTATAAGGATAAACAATAACATATATTTCCATATCACTGTTTGTTACATATAAGACAGCTCATCCACCACTGAAATTAAGCATCTACTGTACCTCGTTATATACTTCCATTATATGGATGCAAAACCAGCAGATCAGGCAGAGGAGTGAAAAATCTAACAGACAGACTGCTGCAGCTTGCTAGGGGTAGATGAAGATCAGAATGGCAAGACCAGTATATTTGGGACTGCCTAGATAAGTATAGGAGTTGTCCCATGTTGCCATAAAAGTTTGTTTTGTTTTAACTAGAACAAATATTCTGTTCTAGGCTAACAATATAAGTATCCTGAAATCTCTATCTGCGTCCTAAATTTCAAGTAAGAAACATATTCTGGTAACACTTTTTGGAACCTTATTTAGATTATGAATGTCCTTTTTTGTTAGGGGTTGACCACAATTTTGCACAATATTATAAATGAGGTCTTACATATCTGTTGGAGAACTATTACTGCTGTTCCAAAACACTTTTTAAATGAATCCTGGGATTTCCTAACCAGGACTGACAGATATTGCAGATGTCTAATAGCAGGTAAATCATTTACAGGTAAATTGCTTTTTGGCACTCGATTGAAAGTCATCTGGATTTCTATAGTGGAGATGACTGCTTCTATTTGACACAACAAGGCACAACAATCCTTTTTTTTTCTGTCAAACACTACCTTTTATCTCAATGAGTACCCACGTATTGATTTTGCACTTCTCAAAATTCGATGTCTGTCTTTTCAGTGTTGGCTTACAAGTGTGTTTCTTCCTGACAAGCTCATGGAACAGAATCTTTAATGAACATCATTTCAGCTAAGGGAAAGAAGCAGCAAAACATAGCCTTTGTAGTAGTTTTGGGAAATGTTTTTGGGTGCAACCATAAAAACAAAAAACAATGTTTGTAATACTCAAATATGCATGATCATTGTCATTATTTTACCTGGCTAAAACAAAGCTACCTTTCTGTCACTGCTTGTACTTCAATATTGTCGGTTTTCTTAACTGATTTACAGTATTTAACTATTTGGGTCACTGCTTTCTAGTCATTCATTTGCTTCCTCTTCGGGGGAATGTGTTCTTTGCTGCCACACTGACTAGTGTTTAACTGCACACTCACCTGTCACTGTGGCCGGTTGCCATGGACACCAACTGACAACAGTTCCGAATCACCTGGAGGTAATTATCATCTCGCCTGTCCAGGTGACGGGGGGGATATCTGAGGGCTGCTCAGACTCTGCTTTGAGTTTCAACTCTGAGCCCTTCAATTCCTCTTTCCTAGTTGTCCCCCTAGCTGTGCTGGTTCAGCACCCTGTATCTTGGGGATCACCTTTCGGCTTTGTTTGTCTGCAGAGTGTTTTTCTCAACTCTGTCTCCTCAATCTCCTGGCTTGTTTTCTGCTTATTTCTATCTGGCACTGGATTTGGATCTGAACTTCGACTTTGAACACTGGATTTTCCCTGTGTCCCTAGCTGGCCACAGAACCATGTCTGCCTGTCTGCTCTGGTACACTACACTCATCTTTCTCAGTCAGCAACTAGCCTGCATCTCATTACCTGAGTATGCCCTCCTTGCTCAACCCCAGTCCAGTTTTCTATTCATCCAATACTTGGGTTCTTATTCATTCCAGAATATTGCTACAAGTTCCATTTCAACATAACTTGTGATCTTTAAACACAGTGATATCTGTCCCTGCATGGCATAAGCCACTCATGTCAGTCCAGGTCAAATCTGAATCAGTGTCGTGCACTGACCCATTATACATCCAGACAGTTATACTTAAGGACACTAGTGGAATGAGCTGGATTGAAGTACGGTATAACTGCATACTGGAGAGACGTCTCTGTGGTTGCTGTGAAAGAGGGTGTTATTACAAAGTATTTCATACTGCCAATTAGGCACCATGACAAATATCACATATAGCAAAATTCAACAGCTTGGTAATAGTCTGCAGTAGGCATGAGTCACACTTCCCTTCCGTAGCATGTTAATTGAATAATTATGTGAGGCACCTACTGTATGTCCTGAAAATAAAGAAAGACACAGACAGGGGAGGATAAACAAAAAACAGAGAAAGTGTCGCTTTATAATCCAAACACAGAGCTCTTTGTGCAGACCAGCTGAAATCCCAAAATGTGCTTCAGTGTTATTTTTTGGTACAAATAAAAGAATCAAAACCACGACAGAAGTTGGTGAAGTATGGAATTGGTGGCCACAATCCCAGAATGGAAACTGTCCAACACAAGCAAAACTACAGGCTGGCACTTGTGTGGCCACTGTAGATGTAGATACTGAAGTGTGTGGTGGTGTTGATTATGAAAAATACACACTTGCGCAGGTCAGAAAGATGTCCTATCATTGATTCACAAACTTGCCTCTGGCTTTTCAAAGCTTGACACATAACAGACAGGCTATACTAACAGAAATACAAGGATATTGAACTACTTGGCTCAGTTCACATTCCATAGACAATGTTCACTCTCAGTGTTTCTGAGTGTTCAATAAATGCACAATAAATTACACAGAAAGGATCCGTACATAAATCAGAATTTTATTATTGGTTTAAACTGTAGTAGGAAGGAGCAGCAGTAGTATTAACTGTTGAGGAGTGCAAGTAAATATTAATGAGTGTGCTTGCTTGGGGCACATTTTTTATTTAAAATCGTTTTTAAATACAGTACTGTAGGTAGACGATGTGATACTCAAAGCACTTCATGTCTTGTAGTCACTTTGCTTACTATTGATCTGTGATTGGTTAAGATATACTGTATATAAAGCCATACTGACCAGCTTTAAAAAAACTCCTATTATTAATTACAGATGACTCAGGATGCTCATTTTAAAAAAAAACGTAGATCAAGTGCCTTAAGAGAACCTGAATCCTGCAGGGTTTAGAGATGCTTTAAAACGAGCGATTGTTTATGACATGAAAAAGCAGTTTATTTGATCTTAGTCACATGCTTGTCCTCCAGCACTCCAGCCTATAGAACTGCCTACTCCTGGTGTGGATCGTCTGTACAGGACAGTCTGAGGAAGATGCTCCCCCTAGTGTTCAGTGTGTGTTTGAATGTAGCGTCTGTAAAAAAACTTCCATCCAAATGCAAAAACAAATGTCTGGTGTTATGTGTTACTCATATCCACATTAATACTGCAGGAGCCTTTCTTTGATTTCAAAGCACAACTCAAGGTTGAGAAATGATAACACAAAGATCAAACGGAGGCAAGATCTTCAACCTTGAGAGGTACATAGGGCAGATGAAAAATAATTATGAATCACTACATATCACAATAGAAACCGCAGCTTAAAGCACTCGTTTTTAGTTCGATGAATATGAATGTATTTGCATTCATGCAAGGAAGTCTGCATTAAATACGTAATTAACGTAATAAAGTACGTAATATACTTACTTTGTTTTCTTATCCATTCGTCCGTTTTCTAACTGCTTTTACAACACCGGGCGGCTGGGGATCCTGATAAGCAACTGGTGCGAAGCGGGGTACACCCTGGAAGGGACGCCAGTCCATCGCAGGACAGGCCCAGACAGAGACACGGTCACACTCGCACCCGGGCCGATTTCCCCAGAACCCACTTGACCTTACCACTATGTCCAGAATGTGGGAATCTTGAGCGCCTGGAGGAAAGCCATGCGGGACAAGGGGAGGACATACAGTACAAACTCCAGCCAGACAGGACTACGGGGCCAGAGCTGAACCCAGGGCCCCAACACTGGAGACAGCAACGCTCACCATCACGCCATCGTGCAGCTCCTTGTGTTCCTCTACAACAGCCAAATATCCCTGCCTGTCACACACCTATTAACAACAAATTAACATATGCTTACACAAGTACACTATTTCTTTGGTGGCTGTATTTCAAAAGAGTGTACATTTGTATTTGTCTTTTAAATTAACTTAAGTGCTGCATTCATGAGAGGAAGCACAGTTCGGTTACAGCTGCCTGCTTGCTGTCACATGGTCATTCCAGAATTGAGCTGGCAGCACAGTTTCCTCAATTCTGAGGGGGAGGAGCGAAAATAAAATGAATAACTTATTGAGGATTAATGCTTTGCAATGTCTTGTACAGTATACCATGTTCACACAACAATGAGCAAATCCCTTTTGTCTTATTTGTACTTTTCAGAGTCGTGTTTTTTTTTAGTGATTTGCTTAATTTGAAGTGTTTTTTTTTCTCCCTCTTTCGGAGTCAGCTTGTCAGGTATAACAATTAGTAAAGATAAAACCTTTGGGAGTGTGAAAGCAAACGGTTTCGAGGAGATGCGAGTCTTAGTGTTTTTTTTTTAATGAGAGAGTACCAATGGAACAGAACTAAAACAATGCACTCAATCACAGGGAGAAGGCTGGTGAACAAAAGACATTGGTAGAGCTATTCTCTTCCACGGTTTTATTGTATTCAATACTTATCTAGGTCAGGTAGTTGCTCATTCAGAAGACTGTTCAACCAATGAACCAAATGGGCCAAATACCCGCTAATTTACAGCCTTTCTTCTGTTCTTTATAAAGAAAAGTACTTATAGAATGGAAACAGCCACAGGAAAGTACCTCATTGATACTGGCACACACCAATGGTATTAAGAAGACTGATTTGTTTTGGGGTATAATAAGGATAATGGAACAGCAGGTTGCTTTTAGGATAATAGTATTTTGCACTTTCTGAGATGCTGAATGCTTCTGTCTGGTTAGGGAACACCGATTCTGAACAATTTAAAATTAGACTGTATTTGGCTTTGATCTATTTTCTTTTATGTTTGCTTTTCGTGTAAATTGTACCTTTCATCTCCTTAGCTGGAGAGCCAAATTGCAACTGAAATAAATAATAAGGAAAACCTCTGGAATTCTAAGGGATCATTTATAGAAGAAATTTGAAATTTGCTAAGTTGTTTTCCCCTGTCAAAACAAACATACTCTTCAACGTAGCTAAATTGTACACACTGTATTAAACTTTCTTTAAGCAATTTGGCTACAATAGCTTCAGTACTGTATGTATAGCCATGTTATTCAGACAGTGTAATGATATGCCTTACTGTTGGCAAGAGGCTTCTAATTTAAATTTAAGGCTGGCACCAAAATCTCTCATCAAAATACAATCTTTTACTATGAAAGTGCAAGATATGAGGGGTATATCCTAATATAAAATGCTATCTAGTCATCAAAGAACAAGCCAGAGATTTGAAATTCATGACCTGTCCTCCAGAGTCTTATTATAAATGAAGTATCTTGAATCCTACATACTTTAGAGAAGGTTTAGAGATAGGACTAAGTTTGGAATATTGTTTAATTCTGGATATTTAATACAATATCACAATCTCAACCATGAAAATATACAGTATATGCAAAGCATTAAAGACGGTGCAAGCTATCAGAACATTGAAGCTATACAAAACATCAGTCTATTTGGTTTAAGATGTTTATCCATTCAATATTTATATTTTCCCTTTACTTTTCGCCAGCTATGATGAAAATAAACTTCACTTTCTGTAAATGTTTTTGTTTGGACAATGAAAAACAGAATCCTACTACTGCCTGTCTGTAACAATGTATCTAAAAATAAGGATATTTAACATTTACTGTGTTAAAGACCTGGACTGATTAAGTGTATATTAAACTATTCTAAAAAGAAATATCAGTAACAATGTACGGTATATCCTTGTCATACTTCTTTAAAGTTAAACATTATTGTAAACTCTACATATTTATACGGACGTCTACATTTATTCGAGAAAAAGATCCCTCTTTTATTTCGTTTAGTTGTATAAAAAAATAATAGGAGCTTTCTGCATTGGATATACATTCTCAAACGGACTATTTTCAATAATAGAAAGGAATTACAACAAAGTAGCACAAATTGACGTGACCTTGTAACCAGGCATAACCAGACATTTTCGTTTTAAAAATAAGCGTACCCTGTATTAAAATTACTTAGTAGTTGCAAAACGATTTAATGTACAGTAGGTGCAGCTGCAGCTATTGATGTTTGTGTCTCCAAATAAAGGAGAAGAACGTTTTGATCTGATTTATTTTTACGCGCAGTTAATGGGCTACAATACAACAGCGTTCATACGGAACAAAATTATACAGCATCTCAGGGCTGAGGGATTATTCGTCTCGTTAGTGAACTCCCAAAACCTCAAGAAGTTTTCCCTGCAAGAAACCCTAGTGTTGAAAACATGGCATTGCAGAGTTCGAAAGCAAACAGAGAAGGAAGTTTCCTGAGAACTTAGCAGAGGAGTTTCAAAACTTTTTTTTCCAGAGGAATTGGTACACTCAAATAAGGAAGGTTTTCGAATCGGGGGGGGAAGGAGGTTTCAATGATATTCATGCAAACAACCGAAAGAAGAAACTTTTCCCCCCAGTTCGACCGAGAGATTAGCAACCTCAGTGGCGATGCGATGTGAGTGAGCGATGCCTTGTGGAAATGGACAAACTGTATCCAAGCGAAAACATGGCGTCTGTTCCTCACTGTTCGGACTTTCCACCAGTCTACTGCTTTCCTTGTGTTTTGCTCTCACCTCGGGAATGGTGGACTCGGTCAACCATCACTGTCCCAAGAACTGTACATGTTCAGTTGTGGGACCACAAAGTGTCGTTAACTGCTCTAACACAGGGCTCGACCGGGTACCAGAAGCGACGGACATCCCGTACTACACCAGTATTCTGTAAGTAGCTGGGATTTACATCCCTAGCGGAAAATATCAGTTTCTGCTCTTTGCCTGTTTGTCCTTGATGTTGTTGTGTGATTTACAGTGTGTTTACCGGGGGGAACAACGTCTCAAAATATCATTTGAGCTTTTAGAGAAAATATTTGTATCCGAGTGGGAAACAAAATGCTTTAAAGTAACTTTAGTGACATACAGCATAACTAGTCTGATCCAATCTTGGGTATGAGACTGTTTTCATCTGGTGCTTGCCAACAGACTCTCGATTAGTTTAAAAGTTATTGTGCTGTGAACTAGAATGGCAGGAAAACAACCCCGTTATTGTTCTCTACTGAACGAAACAGTGTGAAATATTTTAAATTCCAAAGACTTTAGTAAAATATTTAATGAATCCTATAAAAAAACTTCATATTTAACCAAATGAAAAATATAAACATGGACACGGTGTGAGTAACTATTTTAAGATTAATATAGAAATATACAAACAGTATTTAAGATAAGCTGAATGTTAAAATACACCGCAAATATGTCAAATGTTTTAATTAGATACATTAAAAAATAAACATCGGAAATTTGTACCCTTGCTGTACTAATGTTTTCAGTGAAACTGGAAATCATTGACCGATATCTGAATGAAACAAATGGATTAAAGGTTTGCTGGTACAGATTAACCATGATCAGTGAACCTTTCAAGAAATTCACCACCAAGAAGCGCCTCGACTAACACAACTACAGTAGTCGGTAACTTCACAAAAAACACAGATATGCAAGTTATACACTAATGCATCATTTGATTTTGTTTTTAAGTAAGTTGCATTTTTGTATTGTGCGTTTGACAAAAAATAATAAAATGCGTTTGGGATTTGTGCTACGTTATGTTGTGGAAGACGAGGACATAAGCCTCGGTGTAAAAGGACGAGGACGCAGCGTAGTGTAAAAGACCTCTAAATACACCAGTCGTATAATACTTTCCTACAGTATGTAGTAGTACTATCAGCTTCAATAACGGCTTTTCAACGGGGCAGAACGACCCGATGAGTGCTGTTTGAGAATTATGATTGGTTTTATCTTGGTTCAGTGACTGGGGACTAGGTTCTGGAAGGATGCACAGAAAAGGTCCTGCACTTTAACCACGGCAAAAACACCCACTAGCCAGATTAAAGCGCTGCAAATTGAACGTGATTTGACAGTGCCTGATAAAAGGGTTTCAAACACCCAATCGAAACATTAGAGAGGTCTTTCTGTATGTCCCGAAAGACATCATCAAAACTTTAAAATTTAAAGAAATGGAGAGGTGTCTTGTTAAAATAGGATACATACCCCTATTTGTCTGTTTGGTCAAATAATAGGTCTGTTTTGGACATTCACGCCTGCAGCTCTGCAGTGATGGAACAATCAACTCATCGCAATGTAGTGTAGTTAAAAAACGTAATTCTGTAAAATGCCACATGTGAAACTTCACCTACATGCAGAGGTATGCCGTGTCTAGAACCAAGAGCATCCCTTTGTCGCACAAGAACAGAAAAGAACCGTGCACGTTGCTTGTTCATGATGCTTATACTGTAATATCAGGCTGGGGTGCATGCATAAAAACTGAATGGTATTGTATATGCAAAGGCTGTTGAGATGGGAGACGTTATAAAAAACAACAAAAGAGTCTTGGAAACAATACAGCTGTGTGAGTGTGGAACAAGCTACCCAGTTCTGCTGTTGAAGCCGATACCTTGACTTTTTTTCAAGAAACAGCGGGAGGACATCCCTGGATCAGTTCGAATACTATCAAATGGACTAGATCGACTGGATGGCCACCTCTTGTTTGCAACCTTTCTCATGTTCTGAATAGCGTGTTCTATTTTTAGTGCCTCTCAGTAAATATACGGTAAACAGATGAAGTTATACAGCAGGGGTCTCCAGTCATGGTCCTGATCCAGCTAGTCTTACAGGTCCTCTGGTTTCAGAGACTGGCATCATTTATAAATTATTGATGAGTCAAGCAAGTTATCGATTCAATTAAGACCACTCATGTCCTCGAGGGTTAAAGATTACTTCGATTTTAATCCTAAGTGACCTCTAAATTACTTAATTTAACAAACCTCATGATTAATTAAACACACTTGAATTGGTCCATGTCTTTAGAAATTGGTGATTTAATGATGGCCTGCAAAAGCTATTGGATTAAGGCTCTGTAGCACCAGTTGGGTTGGGTAAAAGTGCAAAACTGTTATACAAAAAGTTGATTGTATTTGCAAAATACATTCCATGCTATTTCAGTACCTGGCAGGTGCCGAATATTGTCTTAGCAGCTCTAAGAATGGTATTTTGTTCTTTAAATTAATCTAAAAATATTTTTTTCTTAAAATAATATCATTATAATTAGCTTAATTACTTAAGAAAATTATTTGTTTTAGCTTCTGAAACATTTGTTTCAAAAACTTTAATAATACTGAATTACAATTTATAACGTGCTTCATCCCAAAGCATTTCACTGGTAAAAGGACCCACTTCAAATGTAGCTTTTCTGCACCAGGGGCCCCATAACACTGCAGACCGGTCAGAGAAGTGAGAAATGGCTTCACCCGTTGAATAAAGGGGGACATTTTAGAGAGACCAGGTTGTGCAAGTTGAGACTAAATTATAGCCAGGATCCCTGCTTTTACAATCCCTACAACGACTGCAACAACTGAGTAGTCAAGACCTCAGTTCAACATCTCGTCCGGACGACTGCAGATCCAACAGTCCCTATTTACCACACTGGGATGTTGGTTCGTAAATTCTGGCCCAAAGGGAAGATCATCCAGCATCACTTATAGCAGCATCCTGATTTTCCATAGAGATCTTCCATTCCAGCACTCAATGGGCTCTGGATTGCTTAGTTTCTGTGATTGACTGCATTGTACTGTAGTCATTCTGTACTCAATTTTAGGATGTTTGACACAGAATTGTTACACATCATTTTGTGTAATTTGTGATTTTATAAGTACTGCATATTAAGCCAGTTTGTTTAATAAGAAACTATTCTGCCCTTCAAACCATTGAATGGTTTTCTGGGCTCTTTCCACTGCTTTCTAAATTTAGCCAAAAGAAAATAAATTATGTCATGACATGTTTTCGAATAACCCTTGAATGCACGAAACAGACTTGCTGTGATGGTCTAACATAGCCATCCTGCAGTCTGTGCATCTTGAGTCTTGGTGCTAATATTTGAAAAGTCAAGGTCCTGAAAAACGGACGCAGCATCTCAGAAATGCAACTAGACCGGTCAGTTAAATTATTATTAGATTTTGTCTTAATATTCACGCCTGTCAGGTGTCTTACTGTAGTTTCTGTGTTTGGGCCGACTGTTGTGTGTTGAGTCAGAAAGGTGTCTTGAGAACCTGCCTGCTGTAGTATTTAACATGTCCGTTTTCTGAGAGGCGACTCAAGGCCAAACGTGACCTCATCACTAATGCATGTGACGCAGAGAAAAGCAGCAAAAAGCACTGAAGTTAAAAGGTTTGCATTTCAAAATAAGAGAATGCATTAGGGCATTTATCATCTCTTCATAATTGTTTCCGTGGAATGGCTGGCGCAAAATCAATAAGTCAGAAATAAACACAGATGATGGACATAAAGTCTTGCATAGACATTCAAATGAGTGTAAATAAAAGGTCTTGCATCTTTATATAATGCCAGTTTTTGCATTTTGACTATTAACTGCTGCAAGTTAAAAAAAGGAACAAAAAACGGAGAAAGACGCTTAACACACTTTTAGTAGTATACAAATAACAAGAGTTCAGCACTATACTGCCTAGGCACGGGTCCCAAGGGAGGATGTTTAGTTCAGAACCCATTTCTTATGTGTCTAGCATTTTGTTCTTTTCCTCCTGACTGGAGCTGAACTGTCAGGCTGTTACAGTATGGTCTTGGCTGTTCTCAAGGGAAGCAAATCATCAGCCCCAGTACAGTGCCTGCCCAGGGAGGGAAGAGAAATGTGGGTGCTTTTCACTTTCTTTACATTGGCCTTAGATGAGTAGGTCCAATTGAACAGCTAATAGCAGAAGAGCTTCAATAATCTGGGGTCGAGGACAGAGATTGTGATGAGCTGATAGTAACCGATGACTCAATTGAGCAATTAAAATAATCATTGTAACTGTATCGTTTTTTTCTTCAGAGATTTAGTTCATTGTTTGGCAGAAGCGGTTTTGTGGACTCCTTCCATTTTGTGAAATGTTCCCGCTCCTCTGAATTGCCCAGGGGGCGTCACTTGGACATACTGTAGAAAAGTGATAGTTTAGTCAAACTTGCCCCGTACGTGAAGTGAAGTTCTTCACTTGAATGAAAACGGAACAGTTCTCCTCAACTTCTTTTTCTGAAAGACGAGAGGAAGCCTGAGCAAGCCTCATCTTATGTTAACGCAGTGGGGTCACCTCTACAGCTTCTCGCGTGGCTGAGACCACCCATAGCTGCAGTATAAAAGTAAAAAACGTGCTTGCTCAACATCAGTCCTTGGTTCAAACTAGCGGGCAGCACGCTGGCACAGTTGTCAGCATTGCTGCCTCCCTGCTGTCCTGGGTTCAATTCTGGATCTGGGGTGCTTTCCATAGAGGTTAGGTGCTCTTCCCATATTTGTGGGTTTCCTTTGGGTGCTCTGGTATCCTCCCAAAGTCAGCAGACATACAGTACTGGTAGCTGAATTGGCTTCTGGCACAACCTGCCCTGGTGAGAGAGTGTGTGTGTGTGTACCCTGTTCCCATGGCTTGCCAGGATAGGCTCTGTCACATGACCTTATATCGGATGCAGCGGTCAGAAAATGGCTGAATTGATTTCTTTAAAGTAGCAATACCCTGGTATTCAGTGCAAAGAAAAAATACTGACCGCAAAAGGCTGATGAAGGCCCATCCTTTGTTTTAGTAAAGACAGTTGATTTTTCATACTATATAAAACCTACAGTATGTGCAGAAAATAAATTATGTGCGCATTTAGGCCAGCTGATCACTGTAGTAAAGTCCTGAGATTGGAGG